CCCGCACGGACAGCAGAAGCAGCCCCAGACGCAGGAACATGGCCGGCCGCACGGGAGCAAGTGCAGCAATGTGTCGCCCTCGGTCTCCTCCGCCGGCCGCGGGAGAGGCGGGCGCCGAGCTGGGGCGGGGCGGGGGCGGGCGCCCTGCAACCCAAAGGCCGGTTTCGAAGGCTGCAGTCTCCTCACCGCGGCCGCGCCCGCACCTCCCCGGTCTGAGGTTTGCCGGGGCCGTGACGTGACTCCGGTGCACGGAGTTCACGAGCCGTCGTGAAGGTGTCCACCCGCCGCCGGCGACCTGACCCGAGCCGGGGGCCCCGGCGGCTCAGAGCAGATCCCGGCGTCACCCTCCGCCTCCCCCACTGAACGAGGGACCCCAGTCGTGTGGGGAAAGTGAGGCAGGGTAGACAGGGGCGCGGCCAGCGCATAGCAGCTCAGAATGTCTTCTTTGCACTCGGGGCCTGGGCGCTGTCCCTCAGCTCCTGAGTTCAAGGCTAGCGCTCTACCACCTGAGCCACAGCGCCACTTCCGGCTTTTTCTGTTTATGTGGTGCCGAGGAATCGAACCCAGGGCCTCAGGCATGCAAGGCGGGCGCTCTGCCACTGAGCCACCTTCCAGCCCTGTCTTCTTTGTTTTAACCCTGGCACTCCTTCCAGCGCTGCAGGGTTGGCACGAGGAAGGGAAAAGAGCGAGAGCAGCTCTGTCCTCCTGGCCTTGCTGCTGGCCCCAGACACTCCGTGGGCTCTAAGGTCCTAGAGAACATCAGAAAGAGGACACGTGTCCCCGAGACACGTCACTGGGGAGAATGTCTCCTCCTGGCCCGGCGTGCTCTTGGCTGAGGACAAACAGCCGCGGCAGGACGCATCCTCACTCAAGAATAAGCACCAGGTCTCAAATGCAGGGCGCATGCGTGCTTTCCTAAAAGGGATGCCCAAACATGGGGGTCATGGGTTCAAAGGTCAGGTCAGCCTCAGAGCCCCTGAGCCACAGTGGTGGCGGCGGCACACCCGGAGTGGTTAGAGCGAGATAGTCGCCTGTCTGGCCACTTCAAGTCAGACCCCGCTTCAGTCCCAGAGCAGGGTGTCTCCCCCCAGGGCACCTGCATCCGGATGTCAAGTCCATAGGCGTGGGCTCAGGCAAGGAAGAGTGAGATGCCAGGAACACGGAGCCACGCCTCTTGGCTATGGGTGAGCTGGTACCAATTCCCAACCAGAACTCCAGATGGGGAGAGCCACCTGGCTGTGCAGGGGGAGGGAGGGGGCTTGCACACCCGCTTTCCAGGTGAGGGGAAGAGGGGAGCACAGACAGCCAAAACAAGGGAGGCCAACAGACCAGGGCGCTGGGGAGGCTCCGGGCTCCCTCTTGTGTTGCCCTTTTCGGGCTGCCTCAGCTGTCTGGCATCTGGTTGGGTGGCGGGCCCCTCACTGCAAGGAAAGGGGCAGCAGGCTCTGCGCTGTCTGCCCCAGGGTCCTCAGGGACCTTGAGGTCAGAGTATCTGGGAAGAAGCAGAAATGTCACCTGCAGGGGCTGGCTCCCTCCTCCCCCTCCCCCCAATCTCTTCACCAGGCCCTCCCTTGCCCTATCTGCCTAATCTTGCCCCATCTTGCCTCTCCCTTCTATGGAATAAATTAAGTGTCATAATCTTACCAAAAATGGGAAACGTGTCTTCTACAGTCAGTAGAACTGGGCAAACATCGATCATCGTGGACTAACAGCATGGTGTTTACGCCAGCAGGGAGCATGCACTCCAAACCACAGCCGAGTCCAGACCACTCTGAGCCAATGAACTTCAAAGAGCAGGCACAGGCAGACTGACCTTCCTTCTACTTCTTTTCCTCTCTCTTCTCTCCCTCTCTGCCTTCCCCCACCCCGTTTTGTGCCAGTGCTGGGGCTTGAACTCCAGGACTTGAACTCTTGCACAGTACCCAGGTCCCGAGTTGAAGTATATGCTTCTCCCTTCTGGTTGGCTCCAATGTCTACTGCAAGCTCGGGGCCGGAGGAGAGACCCCAGGGGCAGAGGGAAGACTCTGCCTCCCTTATACAATACAGGGTGCTCTGAACACACCATGGAGGTGAAGGGAAAGACTGAACCACTGCTTGTGTGTGTGTGTGTCTGTGTAAGGCAGCAGGAGCCAAACCTTGCAAACAACCAAGCATCCTGGAGGAAACGGGTGGAAGCAGAGCAAGTGGCCTGTTGATGGGGAGCGTTCCTGGGTCAAGCAAGTCACCGACGGAGGCTGCACAGGACAGCGTGGAAGGACGCACAGTGGGAGGTCCCGTCCCAACAGGCCTCATAGTCTGTGTGTGATTCTCCACCCGGGAAGGCTGGAGGGTGGCAGAGATTTGGGGCTTCCTGTGGGGTGATGACTGACAGCCGGGGGACCCAGTGGTGGGGACCTACAATCTGCATTGATGAGCCAACACAGAGCAAGACCCTGTGTCAACCTGTGTCAAAACTGTACTAGGGTCATGTGACTGCGTTGTGCGTGGGCCTGCCCGCTGCGGCACTTCTAGGGAACTTGGAATCATTTGAAGAGACAGATGAGCACCGTGTGCCTGCTGCCAGGAAGTCACACAGGATGGGAAGCCGTGTCTGCACTGGCACGGCCCTGGATCTTTTTGGTGCTGGGGATGGAAGCCAGGGCTGGGCACACGCCAGGAGCCTGCTCTATGCCTGAGCTACATCGCGGGCCCTGCAGACTTGATTTCAAGTCTGGTGAGGAGTCTATCAGGAGCATCTGAATGGCCCTCAATGAGATCTTTTTTTTTTTTTTTGTGGGTTGTGGGGCTTGAAATCTGGGCTTGGGCGCTGTCCCCGCACTCTTCAGCTCAAGGCACGCGCTCTACCTCGTGAGCCACAGCGCCACTTCTGGTTTTCTAGTGGTTTACTGGAGATGAGTCTCACAGACTTTCCTGCCCGGGCTGGCTTTGAACCACGATCCTCAGGAGATCATTCATTTTCATACCATAAGGATTAGGATTGTAAAATCCTTAAGCCACGTGGTGGTCCTGCTGTCTGTCGATCCGGCTGTCTGGTGGTCCTGCTGTCTGTTGGGTCTGGCTGTCTGGTGGTCCTGCTCCTGCGGGTCTGGCTGCCACACTCCCGCTCCCCTTCTTCAGCCCCAGTTGGCGGCCGTATGTCCGCTGCCCACCAGAGTCAGACTCCCTGACCAGCCTGCTCCGGGCTCACAAGGGACCCTTGGCTGGAGGACTGGACAGGATCCTCTTCGGGGACACCCGAAGAGCCAGATGCCAAGAGGGGCCCTGGGGGGCGCAGAGGGTGCTGTCTACAGCCAGAGTCTGCAGAAATGTTGGGGGTGAGGCCCTGGGCTCTGTCCTTGAGTTTTTCTGGCTTGAGATTAGGGTTCTACCACTTGATTCACAGCTTTACTTCTGGCTTTTTGGTGGTTGATTGGAGTTAAGAGTCTCATGGGCTTTCTTGCCCAGGCTGGTTTCGAACCATGATCCTCACATTTCCCGAGTAGCTGGAATTATACATGTGAGCCCTGGCTGCCTCTGGCAGGCCCACCCTCTGTGACATATAAGACAGTACCAGCCATCAAAACCAGCGTGAGCAGAATGCTTAGTAGCCACCATCGGTTTCTCTTACCTAAAAAGTAGAAGAAAAAAAAAAAAACAAACAGAAAATGTTCTGGTAAGGTTGGGAATCAGCCTGCGCTGGCTTTGAACTGTGATCCTCAGATCTCAGCCTTCTGATATTCTTTTTTTTTTCCTGTCAGTCGTGGGCCTTGAACTCTGGGCCTGGGTGCAGTCGATTTCAGCCTTCTAAGTAAATAGATTACAGGTATGAGCCACAGCCCCTGGCTGTTTCTTTAAACTGCCTTCGTATATACTTGGAATGTATTACAAAATTATTCACCTTCTATGTTTCTTTTTTCCTTCCCTCTCCCACTTTATCCACAGGTGTGAATGTGCATGTCCATGAATATGGGTGTCATTTAGGTCAAGTTTCCACATATACATGAAAACACATTTTTTTTAAAGCTTGTCTTGCTCAATATGATGCCCTTCAATGACATCGACTTTCTGGGTTGGGAAGGTGGCTCAGTGGTAGAGCGCTTGCCTTGCATGCATGAGGTCCTGGGTTCGATTCCTCAGCACCACATAAGCAAAAAGAAAAAAGCCGGAAGTGGCGCTGTGGCTCAAGTAGTAGAGCGCTAGCCTTCAGCCTTGAACTGAAGAGCTGAGGGACAGCGCCCAGGCCCAGAGTTCAGGCCCACGGCCGGATCCAAAAAAAACAAAACTAATTACATCTACTTTCTGCAAATGACATGATTTTATCTTCTTTATGACTATAAAATATTCCATTATATATCTCACATCTTTAGCCATCCATCTGTTATTGTCTATGGTGGAATAAACAGATGTGTGGTATCTTTCTTGTACACTGACTTAAGACTCCTTTGCACACAGGTCCCGTGTGCTTGGGTGGGTCACGGGAAGGGCCTCCCCGCGGGCTCCACCGTGGCTGCCCTGGTTTGCGCTGCCCCAGAGTCTTGCCTTTCCCACATGTGGCGGTTTTCTTGGTGGCGGCTATTCTGACTGGGTGAGCTGGGGTCTTAGTATGTCTTTGATCTGCAGGTCCTCTGCGGGTGAGAATGTGAACATTTCTCTAGGTCTTTGTCAGCCATTTGTATTTCTTCCTCTGAGAACTGTCTGTTCAGTTTGCCTGTCCATTTATTATTGATTTCATAGCTGCTTAATCTTTTGAGCTCTTTGTATATCCTTGATCTTAATCCTTTATCTGTTGAGTGTTGGCTAAGATTGTTCCCTTGTTCTTTGGGCTATCTCTTGGCTCTGGTGCCTGTTTCTTATGCTGCACGGGAACTATTTTGATGTAGCCCCATTTGGGGACTTATTTTTGTGTTAGTCCTGGAGCCTAATAAACTCAGGGCCTTGGTGCTGTCCTTGAGTTTTGTCCTCAAGGCTAGTGCTTTGCTACTTGAGTCTCACCTCCCCTTCTGACTTTTTGCTGGTTAACTGGAGATAGAGAGTCTCACAGACTTTCCTGCCTGAGCTGAATTCAGACTGTAATCCTCAATTCTCAGCCTTCTGGGTGGCTAGGATTACAGGCATGAGCCACCAGTGATTGACTTCATTTGGCAATTCTTGCTCCTACACTCTGAGCATCTGAAGTCCTAGTCAGAAAAAATCGTACATGTGCCTACAAGCTCTTGGGGGTTCCGCCATTTTCCTGTAGTAGATTTAAGGTTTCAGATCTTTTTTTTTTTTTTTCGGGTTCGGTCATGGGGCCTGAACTCTGGGCCTGGGCGCTGTCCCTCAGCTCTTCAGCTCAAGGCTAGCGCTCTACCACTTGAGCCACAGCACCACTTCCGGCTTTTTGCTTATGTGGTGCTGAGGAATTGAACCCAGGGCCTCATGCATGCAAGGCAAGCGCTCTACCACTGAGCCACCTTCCCAGCCCCAAGGTTCAGATCTTACTTTGAGCCCTTGATCCAGCTGGAGTTGATGTTTGTACAAGGGTGAGAGATAGAAATCCAATTTCAGTCTCCTGCAGGAGAATGCTTGGTTTTTCCTGAGTATCGAACTGGTCCATGCAGGAAAGAGACTCTTATCTCTAACCACCAAAAAGCTGGAAGCACGTGATTCCTCATTGCCCAATCAGAACTGAGGAATTAACCCTGTAGCGGAAACCACAGGTTTTCTCCCTAATAAAACAAGCTTTCCAGGACAAGCAAGCACCCAGGACCTCGCCCAGGTGGCAGGATCTGAATTCCACACTTGCACAGCGCACAGCTTCTCAGCCTTCTCCCAAGGGCAGCCTGGTTGTTCCTTCTGCAAGGTTTCCCCGGCCACCTGAACCTCCCCAGCTCTACAGAGCACCCTGTGCGACTCCTGCTGCTGAACTACAAGCGTTCCCAGCTCTACAGAGCACCCTGCTGCTGTACTACAAGCGTTCCCAGCTCTACAGAGCACCCTGTGCGACTCCTGCTGCTGCACTACAAGCGTCCCAGCTCTACAGAGCACCCTGCTGCTGTACTACAAGCGTTCCCAGCTCTACAGAGCACCCTGTGCGACTCCTGCTGCTGCACTACAAGCGTTCCCAGCTCTACAGAGCACCCTGTGCGACTCCTGCTGCTGCACTACAAGCGTTCCCACGCCTGTCATGTCAACCCCACAGGAGTCTGAGATCTAGAAGATCATGGTTTCACGCCAGCACAGGCAAATCAGTCATGGGGCCTGGGCGCTGACCTTCAGCTCTTCAGATCAAGGCTAGCACTCTACCACTTGAGTCACAGCGCCATTTCCAGCCTTTTCTGCTTATGTGGTTTTGAGGAATTGAACCCAGGGACTCATGAATGTAAGGCAAGCGCTCTACCATTGAGCCACCTTCCCAGCCAATGAGACTCTTTATCTCCAATTAACCATTAAAAATCCCAAAGTTTGGCTCACACCTGTAATCCTAGCTACTCAGGAGGCTGAGATCTGAGGATTGAGGTTCAAAGCCAGCCCGACACTAAAGTCCATGAGATGCTAATCTCCAATGAACCACCAGAAAACTGGAAGTGGTGCTGTGGCTCAAGCGGTAGAGCACTTGCCTTGAGCTAAAGAGCTCAGGAAGGGACAGCGCCCAGGCCCAGAGTTCAAGCCCCATGACTGACAAAAAAACAAATCCCCCAGTGATAATGTGGCTCAAGTGGTAGAGCACCAGCCTTGACAAAAGAAGCTAAGAGAGAGCTTAAGGTTCTGAGTTCAAACTCCAGTACATAAAACCAAAAACAGAATAAAAGCTTCTCTTACTTAGAACATCCAAACTGCACACTGTGTTGGCTGTGGCACTGCACTGCTGCAGAACAGGCCTCCCTTCAGGACACCTGGAGAGAGACACACACTTAACTCGAGGGCTGGGCCCTGGAACCACCTACAGAACAAGCAAGGGCTGGATGCATCCCAGCTCACGTCAGGACGCACACTCTGTGTGGGCTGGCTGGGAACCTGGAAAAGGGCCTGGGCACACAGAGACTCTCACAGCTTAAACAACTGGGACCAGCCTGCTAACAATGCCACTGTGATTCTCAGTAACACGTAATTTTACTATTTTCTATTCTTCCTTGAATATCTGTAAGCCTCCTAAGTGGTGTGTAGAGGGAAGGAACAGGACCCTGTCCTTGGATCTGAGGTTCAAGGATTGCAGGCTCCTTCTTCATTCCTATGTGGCATGCATTTGCACACACCTATCACTTTCAAAGAGCAGCTGGAACTGGCCTAAGAGCCACAGTACCAAGTGCTGATCCCTTCCCTCACGATTGTAATCCCAGCTACTAAGAAGACTGAGATCTGATCTTGTGGTTTGAAACCAGCTCAGGCAGGGTGGTCTGAGAGATTCTTTTTTTTTTGTCAGTTGTGGGGCTTGAACTCTGGGCCTGGGCGCTATCCCTCAGCTCTTCAGCTCAAGGCTAGTGCTCTACCACTTGAGCCACAGCACCACTTCAGTTTTCTGATGGTTTATTGGAGAAAGAGTTTCACAGAGTTTCCTGTCTGGGTTGGCTTTGAACCGAGATCCTCAGACTCAGCCTCCTGAGTAGCTAGGATTACAGGCGTGAGCTACCAGCGCCCGACTCTGATTCTTTTTTTTTTTTTTTTGCCAGTTGTGGGGTCTGATCTCTGGGCCTGGGCGCCGTCCCTCAGCTCTTCAGCTCAAGGCTAGCACTCCACTTCTGGCTTTTTCTGCTTATGTGGTGCTGAGGAATCGAACCGAGGGCCTCATGCATGCAAGGCAAGCACTCTACCACTGGGTCACCTTCCCAGCCCATCTGAGAGATTCTTATCTCCAATAAATCAGCAAAAAGTCAGAAGTGGGGACTCAGGGAAGATAGCCAAATGGTGACAGTTCAAATTGAGAGCTTCCCCTGCTCAAGCAGGGAGGCACTGGGCTATAGCATTGGCAGAAAAGCCCAGCTGCTGGCTTCTTCTTCTTCTTTCTTCCCTCTCTCCTTCTTCTTCTCCTTCACCTTTTGTTCCTGAGACCCACACACTCACCTCACCAAGAGAGTGTTAAACAAATGCACAGCTCTGGATGTGAAGGCTTGGAGGTTTGGAAGAGGACAGAAATGCCTGCAGGCCTGAAGGACCTGCTTGCTGCTCAGCAGAAAAGTGTCAGAGCACTGGATCCCAGGAGGGGCCTCAATAGCTGCCCAGGCGAGGAAATGCCCCAGCCTCACAGCTAGTGAGAAGGGAAAGGTGGACGTCCCTATGTAGAAGACTGAACTTGGATCCCCATCTGTCATTCTGCACTAATACCAAGTCAAACCGGATGGAAGACCCCAATGTAAGACCACTAACCGTGAAACACTCCAGGGAGTGAGAAACATTAGAATTTACTGGTATAGCAGAAAATTTTTGAGTGGCAGGGGCTGGGAGATTCAGCAAATGGGATTGCATCAAGTTGTCAATATGAATGTGCATGTACACAAGGTTCTATGTATTTGGACAAATTGTCCAAAGGCAACTTCTCTGCATCTGACCCACTGTGTATCATAGGAGTAAGAAGCAGCAGAAGCAAGTTGCTGACAGGGAACGAGCAGGGAGAGGAAGGGTGAGCAAATGCCCTATTACAGCCAAGGTGCTTTATGTAAACACTGAGCTGCATGCATAACCTGAGGGCAGGGCTGGGAAGGGAATGTGGGAGAATGACAGAAGGGAGGCAAAGCTTATTTCAACAGGCAGTGCACTCATAATCTGATTTGTGGAATTGTGACCTCTTTGTACAACTACATAAAAAATTCAAGTCAGAAGTGGAGCTGTGGCTCAAGTGGTCGAGTGCCAGCATTGAGCTGAACAGCAAAGGGACAGAGTCCAGACCCTAAGTTTGAGCCCCAGGACTGGCACAAAAAATGAACAAACCAACCTTCTGCATCTCCCTGAATTTCTCTAAAAATCTTGGCCAGCACCTGCTCTCTGTTATCAAGAGTATTCCTCCTGCTCTCCTGAGAATCGGATCCTCCGGTACCACGAAGCAGAGAGCCCTGGCTCCACACAACCCCAGTCCCTGCTGTCCGTCTCTCTGGCAGGGGCGTCCTCGGCCCCCAAGCTGGGTAGTGGGTCCCTGGCCCCAGGCCCCAGAGTCTGAAAAGAGGGGTCTCCCACAAATGGCCAGCAAGTCCACGTGCCAGAACTGGGAAGCCTCTGGGTGCTGGAAGGGCCGTCCTGTCCCAGCCCGTGTCCCGCACCCGCGTCCCTCACCAGCGTCCCGCACACAGCTGCGCAGCATACAGGTTTCTTTCCCCAAAGGTCAGACTTAAGGTCATGCACATCCTTTCCTGTGGCTGGGTGAACACATGTCAGGAACGAAGGCCAACAACTCAAGGAAAGGTGGCCAGCGGAACCAGGGCTGGCGGGCGACAGGTGAGCAGTGATCTGAGGGGATCGGGGTTCTGACGGGACAGAGAGGGCCGCAGAGGCTTGGGAAGTGAGCTACGCAAGGAGCAAGTTAAGCAGAAGGGAAGGGCCTCGAGGTGGGGGAGAGGCTCTCCGGTGTGTGGGGCCTGTGGTGGGAACACAGATGGGACCGGCTGAGCGGGCAGCCATCGCTCTGCTGTGCTGTGGCAACCCGCTGCGCCACGCAAGCGGCAGCTTGTAGGATTCCCTCCACCCAGGCCTAGCCAGGGATACCCCCACCCTGCCCAGCATACTTCCCCAATGAGTCACCTACTTGGTACATGGGGCACAGAATTCAATGGACTCTGGAGCCAGGTAGAAATGGCCACTCCTGCACCGGCACACCCGGTTCCGGGTTGATGAGCACTCCACCACCATTTCCTGGTCTGTGGCCAGAGAAAGTGGTGTCACTTTAAGGAGATGGCACTGTCCTTATTTGGGCATTGTCACCCAAATGGGGACATAATGTGTCCCCTGGATGGATTAACCAGACAAGCAAAGCAGGGACCCAAGGTCTTCTCCAGCGAGCACTAAACAAAGTTGCTACAAGCTCCCCTCCTGTGATCCATGGGCTGGGGCTCAGATGTGTCCACTCAGCATCCCGTACCACAAGTCTCAGTCACCCTGAGGCCTGGCCCCGGGGACCCGGATTTACACACCCAGCTGCTTGAGGAGGGGTACCCTCCCCATACTACCGTCTCCACACCCACCTCTCAGCCCTGCCCGCATTTCAGCTACCCTCCCCACTGCCCCGAAGCACCTAATGGACTGGCCCCCCTCCCTGGAGCCCGTCACCTCCAGGTCCTGGGTTCTGGCCAGACTTTCCTGTGAGACCTTGTGGTGTGCCACGCTTGTGGGCTCGAGGCCCAGCGTGCGGGCAGGGAGCTCTGATTTCAGCCCGGGCTGGCTGTCGCCTTCCATCTCATCCCAAAGCTGGATGAAGACTCTGGGTCTCCCAAGTTTCATAGCTATGCACTGAACCCCCACAGCTCGGTATCTGGGCTCAGGGCTGAAGCCTTCTGTGGACAGGCATATTCCCGACTTGTCTCGGTGTGGCTTCAAGGCCCCGTGCAAGCAAGCTCACCCGCACCGCAGGTGGAACAGGGCTGACAAGCAGACAGGCCATTGGCGGACGTGGTGAAGGTCCTTGGCTCACACTTCACGCAGGATCCCCGGGTGTGGGGGCTCACGCAGGCCTGGCTCACATATTCACCTGTGAGAGGATGTGAAGGTCAGAGGTCAGATGCTGCAGGCTGCGCTTGGGTCAAGTCTGTGCAGTCCATCAGGCCCAAGGACCCTCTAGTGAGTGAGTCAATAAAAGCACTTCTCTGTGTCTGTGTGCTCGCGTGCATGAGCATGTGCGTGCGCACTGCTCCTGGGATTTGAACCCAGGGCCCAGGCTCTGTCCCTGAGCTTTTGTGCCCAAGGCTAGCATTCTACCACTTGAGCCACAGCTCTACTTCCAGCTTTTTAGTGATTAATTAGAGGTAAGAGTCTCTCAAACTTTCCTGCATACACTGGCTTTGAACTTTGATCCACAGATCAGTTTCCTGAGTAAGCAGGATTAGAGGTGTGAGCCACCAGTGCCCAGAGAAAGGAGTGTCTGCAGACAGGAGACCCTGCCTGGGGCGGGAGCAGGAAATGGCTGTATAGCTCCTGGTCCACATTTTCCTCAACCAGCTCAGGCCTCTTCTACTTGAAAGGCCACAAAAACCCAGGATATGGCATCAGGCCCCTTCCAGAACTCACCTGCAGGACAGAGCAGGCAGCACCGGCCATCAGACCAGTACTCGCCCGGGCTGCAGGGCTCAGGCCCACCCAGCTGCGCGCGGCGCTCTGAACGTAGTTGGGTTGTGGTGGTGACCTTGGGGTAGAGAGACAAGAACTGTCTTATTGACAGACCACATCTGTGGTTTCTCCACAGGTGACAGGAAGGATGGTGGAGAAGAAGCAGGAATCTGTGGCTTACATAGGCATGGGCGGCCAGGCCGGAGCTCTCCAAAGCAGGTCCTGGACCTTGGGGCCTGTGTTTCCAGGGAAGGCCCAGCAGGTGGCAGTAACTGGTCCTTGTGAGGAAACACCCCCTCTCCTCCCACCTCCAACCTGGACTGTGTAAGGGTCCTCCGAGGAGCCGGTCAGCACCTTTTTCTCCTCTCCTGAACATCTTGTCTCTCCTCTGACTTTTTTGTTGGTGTGGTCTTTTGGGCACCTTTCCCCCCTTCAGTCATTTGCTGCTTTTCTGTGTGCCTATGTGTGTGTGCCAGTTCTGGGGCTTGAACTCAGGACCTGGGTGCTGTCCTAGAGCTTTTGCACAAGGCCAGCACTCTACCACTTGAGCTAGGGCATCATTGTGGCCTTTTCTGTGTATGTGATACTGAGGAACTGAACCCAGGGCTTCATGCGTGCGAAGCAAGCACTCTACCACTAAGCCACGTTCCCAGCTCTGCCTGAGCTTTTTGCTACCACTTGAGCCCCAGCTCCACTTCTAACTTTTTTGGTAATCAACTCGAAACAACAGTCTCTCGGGCTGAGATCCTAGGAGCTCAGCTTCCCAGCTAACGAGGATTACAGGTGGGGCCACCCTGGCCGTTTGCACCATTTTTTTTTTTTGCCGGTCCTGGGGCTCAAATTTTGGACCCGAGTGCTGATTTCCTTTCGTTCATTTCCAACTTTCCGTGATTAATTGGATATAAGAGTCTCATGGATTTCCGGCCCAGGCTGGCGGCCGGTGCCAGGGTTTGCTGGGCTCCTCAGCTGAAGGCGCTAGCACTTGAGCAACGCCAACTTCCGACCTTTTGATCCAACCCCTCCAACCCGGCTCCCTGACCCCGGAGCTCGAGCC